TCCATTCTCCTCTCGGGATCTTGGGCATGCATGCACACCTGCCCAGCATGAGTTTAAGCCACCGGGTCTGGGACTCGAATGGAGGAGAAAGGATTGTGACATTGCCATCCCCCCTGGAGGGTGATTTCTCGTTTTCTGCCTCTCTGTCTCTGTCTGTCTGGCAAGCGCACGCACCCTATAGCAAAAAAAACTCTCCAAAAACAAAAAAAGTTTCGGGAAAGGCCCTTGTGTCTTTAAATAATCCATGATGGCCAGAGAGAGTAGGGTGACTGGGGAGGTAGACAGTCACATACGTAAAATTTTATTATTATTTTTGTATGGTCAGAAGGCATGGCCATGTCACAAACCCTTCTCTACTTTTCCACCCTGTTGAGATCTAGGCTATGCACATGTACCTGGCATGTTTTCCAGGCTGCCCAGCCCAGGATTTGAAGCACGGTTGGTTATGTGGGATCCAGCTTCCCTTAACTGGTAGGCTAGAGGACCAGGCTGACTTGGGTGAAATGTGACACTCTACAAGACTGACCCACATGCTCAGGTTCACCTCTGGATCCTCCCTAAGTATACTGGGTGCGCAGGCCCATGATGTGGGGATGGCCAAGGCTGGAGGTGGATGGTGACACTAAAGCCCTGTTAGGAATGCAGTTTCTCTGGTTTTCTTGCTCATGAAAGTAAGAAAGAAACTTAAAATTAAAAAATGACACAGGATCATCTTACCAGCTAGAACAAGTTAACTAATAAATAATAGCTCTACTCTGTAGAGTTTATGTATCAGTTAAATTTAAACCATAGTTTCAGGACAGGAATAAGCTTCCCCTGTTCAAGCAAGAGCATAAAGGCCCAAAGTGGCTGGAGAGTAATGAGGAAGATGGGAAGAGAGTAGGAGACAAAATTAGAGCTGTCAAGAGAAGCGAGAACATGTTAGTCTGTAAGAACATGTAAGAAATGAAGACATCTCGATTTTATTTTAAGCAATGGAAGGGTTCTAAGCAATGAACCGACATGCTCTGATTTGCATTTTCAGAATGCCACTTTGGTTACTGTACGCAGAAGGGATTACAGGTGCAGCAGAGTCAAAGCAGGGTGGCCAGTCAAGAGACGCAGATGAGAGATACTGATACTTCAGGGTTAGACTAAGCAAGTAGTAGAGGAGATGCCAAGGAGTACATGAAATCAAAACATATGTTGGAGTGAGCAGTGATACAATTCCCTACATGAGAAGGGAGGGGTTAACAGTAAAGAAAAAGGAGTAAACTTCAGACAGACCTGCACCCTGGGGAAAGATGCTCTTGAGAAAATGACCTTCATTTTGCTCAGTCTTTACCTCACTAATCATTTGCATCTGTTCATTCAGAAAGTACTAGAGGGAACCAGCAGTTTGCATAATGGCTATGTCGCTGGACTCCCACGTAGTCGACCGCGGTTCGCTCCCGGACCCGGAGACTTAAAACTCATGCCGGGTGCGTGTGCGTGCATGCCCAAGATCCCAAGAGGAGAATGGAGGAGGAGGACCAGGCTGACTTGGGTGAAATGTGACACTCTACAAGACTGACCCACATGCTCAGGTTCACCTCTGGATCCTCCCTAAGTATACTGGGTGCGCAGGCCCATGATGTGGGGATGGCCAAGGCTGGAGGTGGATGGTGACACTAAAGCCCTGTTAGGAATGCAGTTTCTCTGGTTTTCTTGCTCATGAAAGTAAGAAAGAAACTTAAAATTAAAAAATGACACAGGATCATCTTACCAGCTAGAACAAGTTAACTAATAAATAATAGCTCTACTCTGTAGAGTTTATGTATCAGTTAAATTTAAACCATAGTTTCAGGACAGGAATAAGCTTCCCCTGTTCAAGCAAGAGCATAAAGGCCCAAAGTGGCTGGAGAGTAATGAGGAAGATGGGAAGAGAGTAGGAGACAAAATTAGAGCTGTCAAGAGAAGCGAGAACATGTTAGTCTGTAAGAACATGTAAGAAATGAAGACATCTCGATTTTATTTTAAGCAATGGAAGGGTTCTAAGCAATGAACCGACATGCTCTGATTTGCATTTTCAGAATGCCACTTTGGTTACTGTACGCAGAAGGGATTACAGGTGCAGCAGAGTCAAAGCAGGGTGGCCAGTCAAGAGACGCAGATGAGAGATACTGATACTTCAGGGTTAGACTAAGCAAGTAGTAGAGGAGATGCCAAAGAGTACATGAAATCAAAACATATGTTGGAGTGAGCAGTGATACAATTCCCTACATGAGAAGGGAGGGGTTAACAGTAAAGAAAAAGGAGTAAACTTCAGACAGACCTGCACCCTGGGGAAAGATGCTCTTGAGAAAATGACCTTCATTTTGCTCAGTCTTTACCTCACTAATCATTTGCATCTGTTCATTCAGAAAGTACTAGAGGGAACCAGCAGTTTGCATAATGGCTATGTCGCTGGACTCCCACGTAGTCGACCGCGGTTCGCGTCCCGGACCCCTGGTGGCTTAAAACTCACGCTGGGCGCGTGTGCGTGCGTTCCCGAGAGGAGAATGGAGGAGAAGGGATTGCGGCATGACCATCCCCCCTCGGGGGTGATTTCTCGTTTTCTGTCTCTATGTCTCTCTCTCCGTCTGGTGAATGCACACACCCTGTAGCGAAAACCTCTCCAAAAAAAAAAGAAAGTACCAGAAATGGACCAGCAGTTAGTGTAATGGCTATGTCGTTGGACTCCCATGTAGTCAACCGCGGTTCGCGTCCCGGACCAGGTGGCTTAAAATTCACACCGGGCGCGTGTGCGTGCGTGCCCAAGATCCCGGGAGGAGAAGGGATTGCAGCATGGCCATCCCCCCTGGGGGGGTGATTTCTCGCTTTCTGTCTCTCTTTTTCTCGCTATCTGTCTGGCGAGCACACGCACCCTGTAGCAAAAAAAAAAAAAAAAAATCCTCTCCAGAAAGTACCAGAAGAAGGAAGGAAAGATGGAAGTATAGAAAGAAGGGAGGGAGGAAAGATTATAATCCAAAATCTATCACTCATAAACATAGATTTTTTTAAACCTCTGAAAAAACATTAGCAGAATGAATTTAGCAATATATAAAAATAAGACATCATGATCAAGTTGGATTTATCCCAAGAATTAAAAATCACTGTATTTCATGCAAATCAAAACCAAATCTCACCCCATTTAGAATGACTATTTTCAAAAAGACAAAAAATAATGAATTATGGCAGGACATAGAGAAAGGGGAACTTCTCCACATTGTTGGTGGGAATGTATAGCCCTTATAGAAAAACCAGGTGGCGCTTCCTCAAAAAGCTAAAAATAGAACTCCCTTATGATCCGAAAGAAGGGAGATTAGTACATCAAAGCACTATCTGCCCTTTCATGTTTTATAGCCAAGGTATGGAATCAACCTAAGTGTCCATCAACAGATGAATGGATAAAGACAATGGTGTACACACAAGGTCTTCAAAAAATTAATGGGGGGCCAGCAGGTGGCATGGGGGTTAAGGCACTGGATCCCACATGGCTGACTGCACAGTTTAAGTTCTAGACCAGGAGGCTTGAAAATCATGCCAGGTATATGTGCATTCAGGTCCAAAATTCCAAGATAAGAGTGAACAGAAGGGGGACCAGCAGTTAGCGTAATGGCTATGTCACTGAACTCCCATGTAGTCGACCGCGGTTTGAGTCCCGGACCCGGTGGCTTAAACTCACGTCAGGCGTGTGTGCGTGCGTGCCCAAGATCCTGAGAGGAGAATGGAGGAGAAGGGATTGCGGTGTGGCCATTCCCCCTGGGGGGGTGATGTCTCGCTTTCTGTCTCTCTGTTTCTCTCTGTTTTTCGGGCGAGCACACACGCCCTATAGCAAAAACCTCTCGGGAGGTTTAGCATAATGGCTGTGTCGCTGGACTCCCACGTAATCGATTGCAGTTCGCGTCCTGGACCTGGTGGCTTAAAACTCACGCTGGGCGCGTGTGCGTGCGTTCCCGAGAGGAGAATGGAGGAGAAGGGATTGCGGCATGACCATCCCCCCTGGGGGGTGATTTCTCGCTTTCTGTCTCTCTGTCTCTCTCTGTCTGTCTGGCGAGGGCACGCGCCCTATAGCGAAAACCTCTCCAAAAAAAGAAAAAAAAAAAGGAATGAACGGAAGGAACTGTAATGTGGCCAGCCCCCCTCGGGGATGATTTCTCACTTTCTCTTCTCTCTCTATGTCTCTCCCTCTGGCAGGAGCCTGTACCCCTAGCAAAAAAACTGAAAACAAAGGAAATACGTATTTTAAAAAAACTATGCATGGATTTAAAATATTTTTTGTACCATAATAAACTCATAGTTTAATTCCTTTTTGCCAGAAACTTTCTGAAGTCCCCTTGGATATAAGCAACACACTAGTTCAGCCATTAAAAAGAATGAAATCCTGTCATTCAAGGCAACATGGACAAGGCTGGAGCAGATTATCACGTTAAGTAAAATACACCAGGCACTGAAAGAGAAATACCACGTGTTCTTACTTGTATGTAGATGCTTAAAGGCTGATTTCATGCAAGTAGAGTAAAACAGTAGTTTATTAGAGGCTAGGAAGAGTAGCACAGAGGTGAGGATAAGAAGACGGTGATGAAAGACACTAAGGCTCAGTCAGAAAGGAGAAACACATTCTAGTGTTCTACAGCACAGTAGCGTGACCATAGTTAACAATAAATAATATACATCAAGGAAGCTGGGAGGAGGCCAGCAAGTAGCATGACAGTTAAGAGAGCTGGACTCCCACACGGCCGACTACGGTTCAGGTTCCGGACCTGGTGGCTTGCTTGCTCGTTCTCTCTCGCACTCTCTCTGTCCCTCTCTGGTTAAATTTAAAGAAAGAAAGAAAGTAAGTTAAATAAAATAAATAAATAAATATATATATATATATATATATTTTTTTTTTCTCCTCTCAGGATCTTGGGCACATACCCACATGCGCCTGGCATGAGTTTAAGCTACTGGGTCTGGGACTCCAACCACGGACGACTACATGTGAGTTCAGCAACACAGCCATTACGCTAACTGCTGGTCCCCCAAATAAAATAAATCTTTAAAAAAAATAAATAAAACAAGCTAGGAGAGAGAATTTTGCTACAGGGTGTGCAAGAAAGAGGCAGAGAGCCAGAGAGAGGGAGAAAAGGAGAAAAAAAAGAAACCAAATGGGGTGTGGCCACTCCATAATCCCTTCTCCATGTCTCTATACCATTGGGATTTGAGGTACACAAGTACAAGTGCCCAGCATGTGTTTCAAGCCATTAGGGCTTACATTCAAACCATGCAGTCTGGCCATGGGGATCTGGTTCCTTTAACCACGAGGTCACAGGGCCAGCCTGAAGAGAGAATTTTAAATGTCCCCAACACAAAGTAGGGATAAATATGAGAAACACTCTGACTTGTGTTCAGGAATCTAGAAATCATACTGGAGGCGGGGTAGTAGTGCAGTGATAAAGCATGATACTTTATTGCCAGCCTGACATGGGAAGTCCCTAATGCGGGTCCAGAGACCTCCCTGAGTATGCTGGGCACCCACTCAACCATGATCCAGGGCTGGCTGAGGGTCAGGGTGGATCCCAGGATCAAGGCCTGTTGAAGGTCCTATCTCTTTCTGCCTCTTTTTCTCTCCCTATGCTTTTTTCACTCATTGAATAAATAAAATAAATTTTAAAAATCACAGTATAGGGCCAGCCAGTGGCATGGTGGTTAAAGCGGCTGGATCTCACATGGCCAACTGCATGGTTTCAGTCTCAGACTCAGTGGCTTGAAAATCAGACCAGGCACTTGTGCATACATGCCCAAAATCCTAAGAGGAGAATAAAAAAGAGGGGAGGGAATTGTGGTGTGACCATCCCCCTGGGGGATGATTTCTCACTTTCCCTCTTTCTCTTGCTCTTTCTCTCTTTCCAGGAAGTGTGTGCACTCTATTACAAAAACTAAAAAATAATAATAATAATAATAATAATAAAAATTATAGCATATCTTATAAATATGTACAATTGTCATTAAAAAAAAAAACCTTAACTTTTTTTAAAAAAAACATCAGTGTGCTTTACCACAATAACAGAATAAAGGAGAACAACTACATAATTACCTCAAGAAATGCAGAAGAGGCATTTGATAAAATTCAACCATCATTCATGATTAAAAACAACAGAAAGAGGCCAGCAGGTGGCATGGTGATTAAGGCACTGGACACTCCCATATGGCCAACCACAGTTCAAGTCCAGACCTGGTAGCTTGTTTTCTCACATTCCCTCTCACTCTTTGTGTGTGTGTGTGTGTGTGTGTGTGTGTGTTTATGTGTGCTCTCTGGTCGAATTAAAATAAACGAATGAGGGACCAGCAGTTGGTGTAATGGCTATGTCGCTGAACTCCCATGTAGCTGATCACGGTTCGAGTCCCGGACCCGGTGGCTTAAACTCACGCCAGGCATGTGTGCGTGTGTGCCCAAGATTCCAAGAGGAGAATGGAGGAGAAGGGATTGTGGCATGACCATCCCCCTGGAGGTAATTTCTCGCTTTCTATCTCGCTGTCTTTCTCTTGTCTTTCTGGCGAGCGCATGTACCCTAAGGCAAAAACCTCTCAAAAAATAAATCTTTTTACAAATAGGCTAACAACATGCCAATTCTCCTTTAATCTTTTTTGTTTATTTCTTTCTTCCATGAATAAGACAGACTTAAATACAGAAAGGAACTGAGAAACAGCACCCCAAACAAGGTCCTAATACCATGCTCTATGCCCATTCTCAGCCAGTCCCACATGATGGGCACTCACATGCCCAGCAGGTACTCAGAACTTGGTCTCTGGATTAGAACCCAGAATCATTCCATGTGGGTCAGCCTCACAGGGGGTTGTGTTTTTACCTGTTGCACCAATGTCTAGCCTCCAGTCTTCCTTTAATCTTATTCTCCTTGACCACCCACGACCCCCAGTTGGAAAAGCAGAAGAATCTGTTTTGTTTTTGTGCTTTCTAACTTACCCACTCACAGTCGATTCCAAGTACTGGAAGATCTTCTAAGTCGCTCCTAAGCAAGGGCTCGACTTGATCCCAGTCTGCCTCCTGAGACACCGTCACCACCTTTGCTTGGAGGATCCTCTCCTCCCAGGAGGTTCTGGGGGCACAGGAGTGCAGCTGGCCCGCCTCCAGGGGGGCCGGCGCTCTACTGCCTGGCACTGGCTGTGGTGGCTGCTGTGGGGTGGCACGGCTCGTTGTCCTCCTTCGCCGCTGGATGCCTTTCCACAGGATGAAACCCACCACCGCCACACCCAAAAGGGTGGACACTGCCAAAGCCACTAAGTTCTGTCTAGACATCTTCCACTTTTCTATTGTTCAGGAAAGCACATCACTAATCCCACAATCTGCAAAACAAATGGTCAAAAAAAAAATTATATACGGAATAAAACCTCTATGTAAGTGTTTCCCCCTAAAGTGTTTCCCCCTAAAAAGTGTTCCACTCATAATCCCTGAGCCCACAAACTGAAACTGCTATAACTTTCTGTATGAAGCCCAGTACATGGCAGCTTAAGGTGCTGGATTCTGCATGGCCGATTCCATGGTTTGAGTCCCAGACCCAGCTGCTTGGAAATCATGCCAGGTGCGTGTGTGTTGGTGCTAAAAATCCTGAGGAGACTGGAGGAGAAGGGATTGTGGCAAAGCCACGTAAGTGATTTCTCACTCCTCCTTCTCTTTCTGTCTTTTTCTGGCAAGTGCATGCATCCTACAGCAAAAATAAAATTAAAAATGAATTTCTGTGTGAAACAGAAACAATTTATTTGTCCTTTTGTGGACTCTCTGTACTCCACCTCTAGCTCTATCCTAACCCCAGGAAATCCCCTGCCCTCCGACAGTTGCCCAGGTTCTCTAATGACACAAAGTCTCATCAATCCAGAGTAAGCTCGACTCTCACTTCCAATGGCTGATTTATTAGTGGATGAATTGTTCTGTTAAAGGATTGTTTCCAAAGATGTTAAATCTTTACTCTCCTAAAAGCTTCAGCTTTTCACCAATTTTAAAAAAATTTATTAATCATCAGAAGTTGGTAGAAAGATTTTTTTACTGTTCTAGAAGGTGTGGGCAGAGTGGGAACAGAGGAAACAGGCTGGAGTAAACACTTTCCTGTTGTTCCAGAAGCCTCAGTGCTTCTCCATAGAAACTGACTCCGTTATTACAGAGTAAGGCAGAGCAGTACAAAAGGAAGTAGGGATCAGAAAAGAAAAAAAAATAGAGAATAAAGAGATATCCAAGATGCCCAGAAGGAGGCTGCAAACGGACATATCCACAGGGCCAGGCAAATACATTAACTAAACAATTCATTCACTAATATATCAGCAAATGGAAATAAATGGAGCAATGGGGCCAGCAGGTGGCGTGGTTGGGAGCTCTGGAAATAAATGAAGCAAGCCCAAGGTAGTCCCTTTCCCATTTTAATTATAACATGTGTTTTTCTCCATGACTCTTCTGTTTTCCTGTTTTTGAGGTAAAAAATGAGGACAGTATAGGTTGTACACCCCTGAAAATCCCAAGTCCCACATGCTCCAAAATGTAAAACTTTTTGAGCACTGACACGACACCACAAGTAGACAGTCCACAGACATATGCCTACAGGTACTCAGGGGTCTCTGGACTAGAACCTGGAACCATCCCGTGTGGGTCAGCCTCACAGAGTGGTGTTTTACCTGACCTCATGTACGGATGGTGTACTTTTTGAAGGTTTATTTATTTAATTTTATTTATCATTATTAACTTTTAATTTGACCAGAGAGACACTGAGAGAAAGAGGGAACTTGAAAAACCAAGCTGCCAGGTCTAGGACTTAGCCCATGGTCTAACATGTGGGAGTCCAGCGCCATAACCACTATGCCATCTGTTGGTCCCTGTGTAATGTACTTTTAGAACAGTTTCTAGGCCAGCAGGTGACATGATGGTTAAGGCACTGGACTCCCACAGGACATGGTTCATGTCCCAGACCTGGTGGCTTGCTTTCTCACTTTCCTTCTCGCTGTCTCTCTCTGATGAGTGCAAGTACCCTACAGTAAATTAAATAATAATAATAATTAATTAATTTAATTTAATTGAAATATTTTTTAAAAAAGAAGTTTCTATAATACAATAAATATTTCTTTAAAAATAACATAACTTGCTCTCACTCTCACTCTCTCACTCACTCGTCAATTTAAAACAATAATAAAATAATTTTGTAAAAAAAGATACAATAATCAAGTTACAATGAAGGCACATTGGAGAAGGGTGCCCCTTAATTCAGTATGATTAGTATCTTTATGGGAATAGAGGAGATCCGCAGACGGCCTTGCCCAGAGTCCAGCGAGATGAGATGCAGGGAAGGCAGTCCACATGAAGGAGCACAGGCGAGAGGCACTACCGCCAACAACCACCAGAAGCTAGGAGGGCGCCAGTCAGGATCCTCCAAAGGCTTGAGGCATACACCTCAATTTTGGACTTCTTTCTAGAACTGGAGAAAATTCATTTCTATTGTTTTAGGGTACCCAGTTTGTGCTATTTTGTTACTGCAGCCCTAGGAAACAAATTCACCGTAGGCTAGAGCTTTACTCAGCAGTAAACGGAATGAAGAAATGAAGCACCGATACTTGCTACAGCACGAAAACCTGAAAAGCATGCCAAGGGAAAGAAGCCAGTCACAAAAGACTACATACTGTAGGCTTCCATTCCATTTACACAGAATACCCAGATCTACAACAAAGAAGGATCAGTTGTTGCCTAGCACTGGGGTAGCAGGGGAGTTGGGAACGGGGAGTGACTACTAATGAGTATGGGTTTCTTTTTGAGGCAGTGAAAATGTTCCAAAGTTAGATTGTGGTCATAGTTGTACAACTCTATAAATATACGACAACTGACCAAATTACATACTTGAAATAATTCATCGTCTAGTGCATAAGTTATATTTCAATATGGGCATTTTAAAAAAAGATGAACTATCTGGAAAAGGAACTAATAGCCAAAAATATTGTTTCTTAAATAACGAGGGAGTATGTGAGCTGATAAAGCATATGATTCCAATAACATAATTGTGAGGCAGTATTTACTAGACATCAAAGTATAACATTAGACAGTTTCTTATTGGATATTACACTATTTATTGGTCCAGCAAAATTGAAAGTTAGGTCACAGAACAGAGTGCAGAAACAGACTCTGTGTGTCTGAGAAACCAGTACATGATAAAAATGTCATTTCAGACCAATGGCTCTGAATAGACTGAATACCCAAAGTGACCCTGGAAAACAATAATACACACGCAGAACACATAATTCCAAAGGAATTAAAGAAAAACCCGAACATAAGAATGTATAAGAGAAAATAGAGGAGAAACTTCATTGTGTCTAAGGATATAATGGGATTTTTCAATTTTGACACAATTGCCATTTTAGGCTAGAAAATGTATTTTGGGGGGAGAAAGCGTGAGGGGGAACAGCCTTTCCCATACATTTTCAGTGGCATCCCTAGTTTCCACCCATAAGATGCCAAGTAGTGTCGCCACCCCAGAGGAATAACCAAAAACTGTCTCCAGACCTTCCCAAGAGATCCCAAGAGGGTAGCGGTGGGGCTGGGGTTCAAAATCTCTCCCATTTGAGAACCACTGAGATAGTGAACGATTACCACAAAATACAAATACACACAGAAAAAACTGATAAATGTAAACATAAAGTTTAAAACTTTTGTTTCAACAAAGATGCTATATGGTTAAAAGACAAGCCATAACTTCAAAAAGTACCAAGTTGGGGGCCAGCGCTGTAGCCTGGTGGTTGAGGGAGCTGGATCTTACATGGCTGACCACAATTAGGTCCCATCAGTTTGAAAGGCACATCACACATGTGTGCATGTCCCAAACCCTAACAGAATGGAGAAATGGAGAAGAGATAGTGGCTTAACCACATCCCACCAGGGGTGCCTCCTCTCTCTCTGTCTCTCTCTGTTGAACACACACACCCTCCAGCAACTTAAAAAAAGAAGCATAAAGTTGTAAATATTTAAAATATATATAAAATGACAAAAGATTAAAATCCAGAATGTATACAATACTATTACAATAAGGAAAAAACAACCCAGTAGAAAGAGGGATTTCTCAGAGGAAGTACAAATGGACAAGAATCATAAAAAGATGAACAGGAGCCAGCAGGTAGTGTGATAGTTAAAGGTGCTGGATTCCCACATGGCCGACCATGGTTCGAGTCCTAGACCTGGTGGCGTGCTTCCTCACTTACCCTTTCTCTGTCTATTCAAATTAAAATAAATAAATAACAAATGAAATTAAATAAATAAAGAATTCTTAAAAATTTAAAAAAAGGGGGGGGGGAGCTGCCAGGTAGGGTGGTGGTTAGGGTGGGTGGGATCGCATATGGAGG